AAAAGAAAGCATGGGTAACCCATGGAAAGCCTCTACCCTAAAGCCAGATGCTGGGGTCCTCTGTCTCAACCTCATCCGTTTGCCCGAATCAGCCATCATGATCTTGGGCGGCTTGCCTTCGTTCCAGCGAATATCCTTGGTTCTCAGCAGTACATTGAGGAGATGCCAGAGATGCCGGCTGGAATGGCAATGTTGAAGCTGTTGAGCACCACTACAACTATCTATATCTAACGCATGCCCGGAGTATTACTGTGAAATCGCTGCGGACGCTCTGATCTTCTCTGCAAAACGAATCGAAAATCCCAGACTGTCTGCGCACATGCATCGGAGATTCTCGGGCTTGAATGGGAATTCTTCGATTTACAATGGGCCTCAGTTCTGGACAAAGATGATCTTTGCACAGGTCTCCTATTAATGAAATAAACAGGGAATACCTGACTTGCAAGTACATTTGACAAGAAGCGCCATTTTTAGATCAACTTTTTGCCCGATTTTCTACAACGCGAAGAAAAGGCCAGCTGTTGAATCGCAGAATCTGCGGTGTTGCGTCTCATTACGAAACTTTCAAATAAATGTAAACGTTCGAGTCCTCACCTATAGTGTGTCACTTGCCGTGTGCCCAGCGTAGAACCAGCACGACGTAAGCCACGGAGGATCGCAATCTCTCGGCTCACTGGGAAACGCTTGGACTAGTCGGCCTGAACAGGAGACTTGGCTTCAACCGCCCTAAGCTGGATAATGAACCCCCCCATTCATATTCCTGTCAACATCTCCAGCCCGGACGCCTCACGAGCTGGAAGAGAGACTTGCCATGCTGAGTATGCCAATGATTCACGCAGTGATCAGCCCAGGAAGCTCCAAGCAGATCGACTCTTCAGCATCATGGCCTGCGTCCTGAGCCCTGAGCCACCCCAACTCCACCAATCATAGTTATTCATCCCATTAAGACGGGTGCTTGTGAGGGGCATTCTGGGCCAGGAACCTGGATGTTTTGGTATGTCGGGCCTTTGCTTATGACAGCTGTTGGAACTTTACTTTAGGAAACCTCGAAACTTTGCCAAGCTAGAGTAGAAAGCCCCACGAGACTTGCAGGCAGATCCTCTGGTTTGTGGCTTTCGGAAGTTTCGACCACTCGACATTGAGTATCGTTTCCTTCTCACCTCTTGTTGCAGTAGAAGTGGCTTGTTGGAGCACCCTCACTCATGCGTTTAGTTAGCGCATCTGTATCCAAGATTTGGTTGACGAAGATTCCGACGGCGCCATCTACGTCGATGAGTTCCTGGATAAAGCGGGTTTCCTGCGGGGACCGGCCAGTGCAGCTCGTCCCAAGTAGACTTGGGAGGGCAAAGACGTCCTACAGGGTGCTACGGCTTCCACGTTGTCCTTTCCTAAGTTGTCCCCTGAGCAAGAAGATGCTGCACAATATCCAGGCAGGGGATCCTGAATGCGATATAAGATGCACAACAGCATGAGATGACGCAAGAAAAATGATGTTGCATGTTGTGGCATTATGTTGCTCTTTTGGCGTCATCTGTTTGAGTGCGGTGAAAAGGTCACGCGGGGAGCTTTTATTAGTTGCATGAGTTGCCCAGTTGATCCTGTTGCCGACTTATTTCAGTTCCGGCTTTTGTCAAATGTGGTTTGCGAATGGACAAGACACACACATGCTGCGGCATACTCGTTGGGCAAAGGCCATCGAGCTCTTGGCAGTTCAGGCAGAGTGCCACCACATTCGAAAGCAGCGCCTTGGACTTCACAAATTGGCTCAGGGCCATGGCAAGAACTCTGGTGAGAGGGCGAAAGGCTTAGGGAAGTTTAGGGTTTTGGGGTTCTGGTTTCACGTAGGATGCAAAGGGTTCCCTAGGCTGCAGAGGCCTGGTTGCGAAAGGGTTCTAGGCAGCAGTCGAGTCACTTGTGAAAAAGGGTTCTAGGCCGTTCGAGGCAAGCGGTTGCAATAGAGTATTGTTGGGGTTAGAAGGATGGTGGCCTTGTCAACGCCACATGGCAAGCTCTGTGAAGCACTGCTCCCGGCCGTAGCCAGGTTGCGAGAGAACCAACAGTTGCTTCAGCGGATGGCTGGCACATCAAACTTGCCGAAGGAACCTTGGGGGGGGGGAAGATTGGGCAAAGGTTGTGGTACGGGTCTTTCAACCGTGCAACTGCTTGGTACTACTTGTTGATGCCTAGCCCTAAACTCCAAAAACATGGATTGCAACAACTCCGAAACATACATCGTCCGCCAGGAGCTACTGCGTGGATCGGGCGAAACGCAGATGTCCCTGGAGTATCTTGAGCTGCCGAACCTGCATTGAGGTGCTCAGTACTCACCACGGCCCGCACAATGGATGCACAAGCTGCCGAGATTGGGGCAAAGCTCCCCAGGTCAGACCCGCTTGCCGGAAGGGTTGAGGCTCTGCGAACCTCTCCAAGAGATCCTTCTCCAGGGGACCCAAAGCAAGGTCTTCAGCAAGAGCTCTGCTTAATGGGGGGATGCCTGCCAGCATGGCGAGTGCAATGGCTTGTGAAGAACTCAGAGTGAAGACAAGCATGCAACCTTCCCTGAGCAAGCAGAGAGTGCATGAGCACTGCTATGTTGCCTGCTTTTGTTTATGCACCATTCTTGCGGAGTCGTATCTTCTTGTTCGAGCGCAGTAGTCTTGACCTGCCCAGCCTGCCAGCCTCCTCAAGGGACGGCTTAGGGCAGGACAAGCCCGCAGAAAACGGCCGGAGCTCAGGATTAGCCTTGCTCAAGGTTCTGAAGTGGATCGGGCCCCCGGCGTTCAGAAAACACTGGGGGGGGGCCCATAGTTGTCAGTCTTGGAGCTCCGTAGACATCCGCAGGATTCCGAAGGTTGAGGGATGGCCGCCTCTGGTGGCCTGTCTATGCAGGCTCTCTAGTCCATCCTTTCGAGGTCCCAGATCCAGAAACGCGAGCCCTCGGCTGCTTTGGATCTAGGAATCCCAGAAATCTGAACTTCTGAGAAGCACTTGTCCCCTAACCTGGTGGAGGCACACTGCTACCTGCAGCTGCTGCAGTGGAAGAAAGGTCCTCTGTATCGCACAGCACCCAGTTGATTGTTCGGGTTCGCAGGCAAGTGCCTGCTGGATGCCCTGCAACTTAGCAACTCGACACCTCACCTGCAAGACCAGTCTAAGCTCAGAAGGTACTTTGCGGTCCACAACCTTCGAGGAATTACTTTGTCTGGCTTCAGCTGGCTCCGCCCCCCATGTTCGGCAGATGAGAGCTTAATTCCTTGACCGTAACCAACTCGAAGGTAGCATGTATTGAAGGTATTTTGCCTCGCTTTGCCCGCCCTCTTCTGGGCATTTCCTCAACTTGGAGCCGCGAGAAAGCCGGTAGCCCCGGTCCACGAAAACCTTGCCTGCGTCTGTGGCCCGCCCTCCTCCCACGCCCCCCCCACCCCGACCCCCCCAACCCCCCCAACCCCCCCCCAACCCCCCCTGCCCCCCCTCTCTACCCTGCCACGGCTCTACATTCCTGTTCCAGCGTTGTTTTGGGTAGTCTCAAGGTTGAAAGCTAAAGTAGCGAGGGTCTCCATTGTCAGTGCTGTATGTGTCCCGCCCGGTTGGAGGCAACAGTGACTACATCGCCGTCACCAAGGAAGAGCGCGAACATTTTCCGTGGGTGATGGAGCAGGCTTTGCTTTGGGTTGCCGAGATTGGAGTGCAGAAGGTGACAAACTTGCCTAACTTTCCTGTAGTGTCAGCTCTGAATTAACGAGAGTTTCGCACTGTATGGAAGGATGTCATGTTGATGTACGCTTCTCAGCGCTCGCTGTAGAGAACCCTGGCTAAGGGAATGTTGAGACATGTTGAGGCTCAGAACTGTAAACCCTTCTACGCCGTAGGCTTTCGGATTCCCAAGCTGGACCCTTGGTGCTCAAGAAATGCGTCTCACTTCTAACAACCTTCTCCACGGTGGCCAGCTGTCTGAGTAGACAAAGACACTAGAGACTTGAAAAGAGCTCTCAAAAGCCTGAAAACAGTGAGCGTTCTTCCGACGTCAGGTGCGAGGGAGGGCCCAGGAGTTTTTCCGCCAGCCGGCCTCTTAGCTCGCCACTTCCAGGGCACCTCACAAAAAGTTGAATAGGGACCTTTGCAGAAAAATGCAGAGACATGTTTACTGTTTACAGTTAATTTTAGAGCGGAGAGCCTACGAGTTCTCGCATCCTTTGGAAAGGCCTGAGCCAGTCATGCTGCAGATGTGAGCTACGAACTATGAACTGTGAGCCTCGCAACACTAACAGTGTCCAAAGCTGACACACTCAGCACCTCGACACCTCAGTCCAGCACAGATTTCAGCATCTCAGATATTGGGTGACCGAGCTGCACAAGAACAGAGACAAGTGGTCCCTGGTGCGAGGCTTAGCCAGAGACAGAGGCAGATCATGACAGATCGAGACTGCAGTTTCAGGTTAGGCCACAAGGGAGGGGGGTCTAGCAATGGCTTTCAGCTGCGGGTGCACCAGATTTGTGCTACGAAGGTACTGGAGGCGGATGGCTTCGTGTCCGTGATTACTGAGAAGCTCTACGCTCTGGCTTGTGCAATGCCCCGTGCTTGGGCATCCGAGGGACACACAGCCAGCCTCAACAGCTTGCATCCCGAAGCCAACCCCCAAATTCCTACTTGAGGCTTTCAGGCTGCTTAGATGGCTAGATTTGGCGTGCTTTACACACTCGCTGCTGCCAACCAGACTTCAGCGCCAGCTCCTTAAGAGTTCCTCGGCAAAGACACGCATATGCAACCAGCGCCATCGGTGCCTGCAAGCCTCCAGCCCACTTGCAGTTGAAGTTGTGAGTGATGGACATAGGGCGGACTCAAGCCACCCGAATAAAAACAGTCTCTACAAGCTCTGTAGGACTTACGTGAAGCATATTAACCCCCAAAGTCCCAAAGTCCCTCATCCTTTCTGGCAGCCTGGCATGTCCGGCGCGACGGCTTTGGGTGAACACGTGGCGCCGAGCGCCATGAGACTCACATGGAGCAAGGCGGAATGATGTAGAAGAGTTTGTGTGTATTGTGGTCAGTCTAGCTGGGACGATGACATTGCCGGTCCGGGCAACCACGGTTTTTCAGTGGGATGGTGTCGGCCTGTGTGTTGATCGTATTTCTTGCCTCCGAAGCAAATTTTCCAAGCAAAAGGCGAACAACCTCAAGTACAGCCCAAACTCCTCAAGTTGTCGAAACTCCGCAGCGTCCACAGTCCTCGCAGCTCCTCGCAGTCCTCAGTCCCAGCAACACGCAACACCAGGACTATCAAGTCAGGGCCGAACAGTCCCCAAACTGCCTCAGGGTCCCCGTGGCTGCACCTGCGCTGCGGCGAGGTCCTGGGCCGTACGGAGGTACCAAGGCTGGGGATGAAGCCCGAGGCATTGTCATTGTGCTGCACGCCTGGAATCCAGGACCTCAATCTGACTAAACCGCAAATCTGGCGGAAGCGTCCAGAAGCTCAACTCTAAGCGCAATGCTTTCTCAGGGTGGTTTGGTCTTTCTGGGACAAGGGGGCCAAGAACTTGAGTGAGTTCCGCCAGCTCTGCATCGAGACATGGAGGCGGTCATAAGAAGTGCAGAGTTTTGACATGTGTCAACATCGGATAAATCTGTGAACTCCCCTTCGTTGGAATGTTTCCAGGCTATGTTGCACGGGAAAGGTTTGCGAATGCTATACCAAAACCTTCCACACATCATTGTGTTGCCGCTAGTTCTCAGAAAAGAACTATGATACTGGAGTATACCCGATGGGAAGTTGTAAGACGGTGACAAATGACAAATGTATGTAAAACCATGGCCCGACAACATATTCATTGACTTGCTGGGTTTGCAGAGTCGGGTGGGCTTGGGTGAGTTTCGAGCGTTAAGAAAGTTGAGGAAAAACTTTTCCGAGCATTTCCAGGTTCAAGACGCTGAAGATTGAAGAGTCTCAGAAAACTCTTGGACCCCGTCTTCGATTTTGTGTTTGAACGTTTTGAGCATGGATTGAAGATTGCATCGCCTCAGAAAAGCTCCGGGGCTACATCTTCGATTTCCGTCTTCTCGTCTTGAAACACTAGATGTTCAGACGCTCCGAGGTCGAAGGTGTAGCCCCAGAGCTTTTTGAGACTCTTCATTTTTCGGGTGAGCGACTTGGAGCTCAAGGTGCTCAAGACGTAAATATGTCAGCAGATGTCTTGAACAGAAGACATACACGTTGTCTCCCTGTCTAATCGCTCAATCCCCCCCTCCCCCTCCCCTCCCCCTCCCCTCCCCTCCCCCCCCCCCTCCTCCCCTCCCCCCCCCTCCTCCTCCCCCCTCCTCCTCCCCTTGCTCTGCCCCACACCCCCAACCGCCTTTTGCATTGGTGCTCTGGAACGTCCAGTGCTCTTCATTAGTCTGTAGCAGGCGCGCTGCAACCATATCCAGTGACAAGATGGTGCCGCCTTACACAGGGAAGGGATGCTTTTCCACCTGACCTGGCAAGATGCCCATGATGGATGGCGTTTGACTTTGCTGCGATTTGGTGCATAGCTGTACACTGTTGGGTCTGTGGGTTTGAGATGCTGGGCATGTGCTGAATAGAAATTCAGTGCCTTATCGGGTTTCCCGCCATGGCTGTGGGGATGATCCAACAAATCTGGAACAAGCTGGGAAGCCACACTTTCAAAATGCTTGCCACAAAGCAGTGGAGGAAACAGAAACGCATGCCGTCATGATAGCAATGCAGATGGATCATGCCGGGGGGGGGGGGGGGGGGCATAGCGCATATGAATGAATAATGATTTTGTAATTGGACTACACTAGCGCAGGATTCTTTTGGGACATTTACTTTGACCCGCGCCCATTATAAGTCACCTCTTTTTGCTTTAGCCACAATCGCGACATGGTGCATCCCGAAGGCTAATTACACTCGCTGTGTGTGAAGATGGTTGCAAGCACAGTCTCCAGCAGTTTCCACAGATGCCTGGGCAGGTCAATGAACCCGGCTTGGGACATCAAGGTCCGAAGCTCATCCGATGTGTGTGTAGCTGGAAAGCTGGTGTTGGCTGTGGTAGGCAGTGGGTTCTGTCTGACCTTAGGTGCCCAGTATGATCTGTATTCTGCGGTTAGGCACGTGTCCGTTGCTGCGTTAGCGTGCCATTAAGTAAGCAGAATAGAAATCATAGTAAGCTGGCTGATCCACCCTACTGTCAGGACTCGAGCGGTTGAAAGTCAAGTTCCTGGGCGTCGTAAAAGTTTCGGGCGCGGAGTCGTTTTACCTGCAGTTCTTTCAGACGCAGCTGGCTCCCCTTCATCGTCGATGTCGGCAGTGGCATCGTTACTAGCACGGTCATAGCACGATGAGGATTGGGAGGACTATGCGTTTTCTTACTGCTGCTACTCGCATTCTGCGGCGGACATTTGCGCAGTAGTGTTCAAAGAGCGCTCACCGAAATGATTCAGCTAAGGGCAGCGTTGTTGCCGTCGTCGTCGTCGTCGTCGTCGGTCGTCGTAGGAGTCGCAGCGGTAGCAGTAGAGTAACGATACCCAGGTTGTGCTTAAAGTCTCCCAAGCCCTGCCGGCAGATCTTGGACTCCAAATCGGTGTGGGTGTACCTCCACCCTCACGATTTGCCCAAGGAGTGGGAGGCTGGTTGGGAACGGTGGCAGGTGCTTGTGTTTCAGGTGAAGGAAAGCCGCTGGTATGCGCGTATCCTGCGCCCACCTCTTGGCTATATTGTAATATGGCATCAGATCTCGAGTTGTTGCCCAGTGCGAAACGACAGTCACGTCCAGGACAAGCCAGATTGATTGGGCTTCTGTGCCAGAAGTAGAGACTGCCGGCCATCGTAATCCTGTGTACGACCTTTTAGCCTCGCAGCGAACACGCCCAGCTTGTAACACCAGACGCTGACGAATGTTGGACGGCAATATGATGGCAGCAAAACTTTCTGGAAGACGTAAACCTGAGGGAACATCCGCAAGGACCCATCTCCTCGCTATCTGAGTATGCAGTGAGTATGTACCCGGCATCGATGTTGAGATTGCACGATCTGGCATATCTTGCCAATCAACATGTCGCCAAGTGCCCAACAAAGTGGCCTCGTCCACTTGCATGTGTTGCTGGGCAGTGTTCATCACCTTGCCAGGTTGCGCGCCATTGTCGTCTTAGTATCGCGTGGCACCGCTCCAAATGGGACTCGATCAGAAGGTGAAAACTGTTTGAACATATCGGCCTTCAAAGACGGCATGACCTCAAGGAGGGCAGCGACGACCATCTGTAAGGTCCAACTCGGAGCAGGGTCACTTTCCATCAAGCTGCCGTCCATCAATGCACTGCCATTTCTTGCAAGTCAAGGCTTTTTGCAATGATGAACCCTACAGCGATAAAGTCTATGATCTTCATGAGTAGGCTCTTCGTCCCTGCGACCAGGACATGTACGTGACTTTCCAGTCAGACGCTGTTCGTCTTGCCCTGTTGGGAAGGCAGCCATTGCTTGCTTGAGCCGCTCCTGTGACCCAGTGTACATGCAGCTACTCACGGCTCTGCGTCAGGTATGGCGGTGTTTGGGTCGATCCTGCCACGTGCCCTGGATCAGATGAGTGTAGATTTCGGGGCGTGCGAGCGGGTGCGTGGGGGCGAGTGCGGCGCGCGGTGGGAGAGCCCTCGCAAAATAGTCATGTCACTTCGAACATCCCCACCCTCCCCACCCTCTCGGGGTAGAGATACTCTGGGGCTGGGCACTCCAGGAGTTGAGTACTCCAGGGGAACCACAACCGTGGACCTAGTAGTTGGCCATCATTGTTGCACGCACGCGCACGCTTTGGGACTTCTTGTCGCAGCTGATTTGTTTACAACATTCAGATGAGAAACTGATCATAAGTCACGACTGCTAGCGGAGTTAGGCTTAACTAAGTTTTAGAGGTCCGCAAATCTATGGGTTCTATTAAACCTATCATAGGATGAAGGGGGGGCTCAATACTGATCGGTTCGCAATTCTGCTTCTTTTCTTCTTTTGTGGGGGGAAGGTGGGTGGAGGGCGGGTGGGTGGGGGGGGAGGTGGGTGAAAGTATAGTGAGTTCAGACATCCGTCCGGCCATACGCAGGGATCAGGTCCAGCCTACGTCCTCGTAGTCCTTCTACAATGCACTACGCCTCACGAGTAAAAAGGCTACTAAGTGGAGAAAACAGCAGATTCATAGAAGAGAGCAATAAACTTTTTGCAGGTTCCCAAAGGTTCGAAAGCATTCGAGGAATAGTAGCACTCGAGCCTCCATGGCGTTTCTCTCTGTAGTTCGCAACACACATCGGAGCTAAAGTCTGTTGTATTTTGGGAGTTGTAGATTTTCCGAGTACCATGGCCTTTACTTGACGAACGATGCGTTTCCAATAGATTTGTGCTTTCTAGGAATCTAACTAGTATCTACATCGTATTAGAGGACTGTTTTCTATTTCAGTAGAACTTAATGATCACTTTTTCATATCATGTGTGTCGTCAATGTGTTCGTTCGTATTTAAATCTACATGCTTGGTATTTTTGCCCGGTGAAACTACTATTGTCTAGAAAAAAGCACAGATTCCCCAGACGAAAGCATGATTTGCCGAGCAAATTGCACTATTCGGTGAGGGAAGCCCCCAAACCCAAACTTCACCAGTGATTCTCCCAAGAAGCTTAGGGTTTTGGCTGTTGTTTTAGGATTGTGAATTTCCGAGTACTCTGGCCCAGGGGTTTAGGGATTTAGGGGTTCAGGGGGTTTGGGGGTTGGGGCAAAGTGGTCTAATTAGGAGTTTTGGGTTTGGGGGAGGGTTTACTTTTTTCGGCTTGCCCCTCAAGATGCCCATGGAATGCATGGCAAGAATAGTTGGTGAAGCGGAGATGGTACGCTCATACCTGTACACCATGCCAAAAGTGATTCGGCTATTCTGGCAGTCTGCATTTGACTTGAGGATTTGCCTTCGGCCTTTTGACATGTGGCTCTGCAACAGCATTCGCGACGCATCCGGCAAGCCCGGAATTGCAGCGCGTCCTGTCCGCAAGCGCTTGCATGTTGATGGCGGCTGGGTTTGCGGGCAGAGATTGAGCACTTCGTAGTTGAACCGGAGCATGCTTCCCTTTTTATTCTTATATTTCTTATCCCCCCACTCGAGGCTCAGGTGAGGCCACCAGGCTATCACAATCCGAAGCTGCAAGGCGCTCCCTGACGTGCAAGAATTCTCAAATCGAACCAAGCCCAGGTTCTACTTTGCTTCCTGGGGCACGGACGTGGGCAAGAGTCGGGGGCCCAAAGAGAATGACTTGAGAGCATTGAGGGTATATAGGCCTTCTGACAGTTCAGCATTGCCTTTGCAGGGTTAGACGGTTGCACAAACGATCTCTTCCACCAGGTGGGGCAGTTCTAAAGTCTGGGACGGATTCAGGCCGTTCCTCGGGGATCTATCTGAGGCTTGTGCCTTCGATTTGGGTGACGTGGGAAGGATCTTCGTGGATCATTGAGAATGCGCTTGCCTCGAATGCTTGTCTCGTAATTTCATAATTCATGAAGCAATGGCTGTGCTTCGAGCACGCGAAGCCAGGTGCGGAGTACGTGGAGAACTGGGTGGGGGACTTGGGCTGGTGCGGCATTTTGCGGAGCTTGGGAGCTTAATGCAGCTTAGCGAGTGGAGTAGCTACCAGTATCTACTAGCTACCATTGGCCAGGGCTTTCAAGAGCAACATGCACATGGCATCAAGGTGCCACAGCTTTTTTGGTTGGATTTCGCTCAGGTGCTGGCAGCACGCCGATCACACCCCATGATTTTACGAAGCTCATCCGCCTGTTCGGATTTCCCTGTGGGGTTTCGTGCTTTGGTGGACTGAAGCCAAGCTTTTCGGTTGCTTGATTTCTTCTGTCCAGAGTCCTGCCGTTCCTTGCCGAGTGATTCGTCCATCTATGCGGGTGGAAGAAGCCGATTGATCCCAGGATGGAAGGAGCTTTTCAACTCGTACTTCGACAGCATCTGCGCAGCTCGGATGGGGGTCGTAGCCCTGATAGGGTGCTTGGTGCTACGGCGTACTTGATTGGTTTGCAGTGGCTGGCAATTTGTTACCGTGATTTTGGGCAGGGATGTTTCAGGCAACATGGCCTCACAACTGACTGCAGCTTAGCGGGCTTTTGACATAAGGCACATCCTTTTTCAAATCTGCGATTGGTGAGGCAGGGTTTAACAGGAATTGCAAACTTACTCGATGCACACTGTGTTGCACTGCCAGCGCGTGAATCCTCAGATTTGGTGTGGTGGGAACTTGCCGAGTACTCCAAGCGATTTAGCATGGCAACCTTCATCAAAGGTCTTTGACAGCACGTGCTCAAGTGCTCAAGTGGTAAAGCTTTAAGAACACTTACGCACCTCAGCGTCGAATCACGTTAAGGCAGAGATGCGAGGCCCACTTCCCACACTGCCCACACCTAGGCTAGTCAAGGCAGTCTGGACATTTTGCATCTCCCAGACCACCCTATGTTTCTTTGCTGAAGTTTTGCTGCCATGGAAACGCTGTCAGCTGATCTTGTTTCTGGTCGGTATCGAGGGTTTGGGTCAGTTCCGGATCCACTGGTCTGATTTTGCAGAAGTCGGGTGGATGCACGAGGCTTCGGTAGGGCTAGGCTCGGCACTCTGAGTCCGAGACGTGGATAAGGTTCCGGCATATCGACCTGTCGCACATGCAGCGCTACGGACATGACATGCGCTCCTACCTGGCTCCTTGGCAGCTCAGGCTCAGGCGGTTTGTGGTTTCAGAAGCCAACGAGACAAGGCCCACCTTTGTCATGCTTTCCGGCCTGTCCGTAATGTTTCGCAAGAGGCACCCCAGTGGTTTTAGCAGTTTGTTTTTTTGTTTGGGGAGCTTGTGATTTTGTTTTGGTTCCTTTCGCCTGTTCTCATTGTGTTCAGCTTTCTTGCTTTCTGATTCTGTCTTGTTTGTTTTTTGGTTTCTTGTTTTTTGCTGTTTGCTTTGTTCTGTGCCTTATGCCTTCTTTCTTTGTTTTTTTTAAATGATTCTTGTTGTTGAGTTTTGCTGGTTTGCTTTTATTTCGTGCTTTTGCTGTTGCTTACTGTTGTAGATATGGCGTGTTCTTGTTTGTTTGTTTGTTTGTTTTTTTGTTGCTTTTTTCTTCGTTCTATGTACTTTTGCTTTCTGCTTTTGCTCTATTCTGCGTCGCTTGCGTTCTGATTGAATGCCTTTGTATTGTCGTTTTTGCTTTGTGCTTTGTTCTACGCCTTTGGCATTCTGCCTTTCTGCTGGTTACGTTTTACGTTGGAAGCACAACGTGCACGGGATGCAGACGAGAGCGCGATTTTGATTTCAGAATGCGCAGGCGAGAGCACGCGCTTGAACAGTACAAACTGCGTTCGTGACCTGGAATGCGTCCGGGACCTAGGTGTCGATTCGACCGTGCAATGCGGCCAGCTTGTGGGTCGTGGAATGATGCACGCCAAACCCAAAACAAATCTTCAAATGGCAACAAACACAACTATTTTCCTCGATCATCCCCGCCCCAGAGCTCACCAATGAGGGTGCCATCCTGCCCTTTTCGGGCAAGCAATCACGGATACTTCACACGGGAGTCTGTCGCCGTTGTCTGCAGTAGTACTCTGCGGGATTGGGCACTGCAGGGATTCTCTAAAACTCTGGAGCTGATGAAAGAGGCATACTCGGTTTGCAATATACTCAGCGGGACTTTCTGCGGGAATTTGTTTGGGGGTGGGCACTCCAGGGGTACTCAGTAGTACTTGCTGCTATTTGCTGCTGGAACACTCGCCGGGAGACACAGGAGTTGTGGAAGTGGCGCGGGGCTCGCTACCTACTGCTACTGCTCCACCTCTCGAACTTTTGTTCGCACTGTTGCGTGGGCCGAGGTCATGCACTCCTGCTTCAAGAAGATGATAGACGAAGTGATTTGGCCTGATCAGCTTGTTGGGCTTAATTTAATTGGTTAATTGCTTCTCGCTTGTGGCGGGATGCAACCAATGGAGAAGTATGCAGTCGGGGAAGGTGCTACGCAACAACCCGAAGTCGAAACCTTTCAACAATAAGGCCTGTGCCATACGTTCAAGACGAATGTGACATCTCATTCCATGGGTGGTACCCATGGTAGGTGTGACTGTCGTTTTTTGCAGCATGGGCCACTGCTGCGCAGGAGCCGACCATGCGGAGAATCTGGCGGGAAGAGATGCACTTGTGCCCTGGCCTATAGTGCCACTTGAGTGGTTCCTTTGCAAAAGTCTTGAAAGCTGCTGCGCATTGCTTAGTCCTAGTTGCAGCAGGCTTAGTATTGGCTCTGCCACATCGCGTGAGTTTTTCTCCAATGCTTTATCGAGAAAAACTTCCCCACTAGACTTCCCCTTCTTGCCGAATAGTTCAACTAGATTCGTGCCCCGTTTAATTATCTTTGGAGACAAGCCGCGGCAATGCTTGCTGCCTTTGGCGTTTTGAGAAATGTAGTGCAATCAGCAGGTTGAATAGTAAACAAAGCAAAATAGCCCATCAAAGAAGCCTTGTTGCTGCTGGTCTCGGCATTCTCCCACAGCGGACAACATTGTGCCCTGACCAAAAGGTGCAGGCACTCGAGTCGTTCCTTTGGCAACGGTTTGTAAGCTGTTTTGCTTTCGCTCGATTTGCAGAAGGCTTAATGGTTCAGCTTCGGGACTTCCCTTGCTTGACTCCAGACCTGCAGGTTACGAGCTGACGATTTTGCCCTTTGGCACATGGACGAGCCGGAGCCCTGGAAGGCTTCAAGAATCCAATGTTGAAGGAATCCCATCAAACTTCTGACATGACGCAAATCCTGAGTGCCAAGTGCCCTCAAATCATGTGAAGCCAGCACTTTTCCTAAACCCATCCTTCAGCCGTAGCCCAAAGCCAGAACTGACAAGACCAGGCCAGAGGTCTGCTGGGACCCTGAGGCAGCCTTACGAAAGTGGCTCGGCAAAGGACCTTCCTGTGATCTTCTGGGAGGGTCCTCTGGGGGGGGGCGCAAGTGGCACACGAGACAGGCGGCTTGAGGCAGGAAACGTGGAGTTAAATGAGCTCATGCGGAATTTCTGTGCTGTAAGATGCTGCAGGACACATAGGACGCTGTAGGATGTAAGGATGCAGCAACAAAATTCACGAAGCTTGGCATACTTTGATCAAACTTTGATCTCTTCCACAATACTCCTCGAGGGTAAAGGCTCGGAGCTTTCATCAGAGTCTGAGGCTTCAGGTTTCGAACTCGTGAATGCAAAGCCCTGGAAGCGCCACAAATATAACCTTGATCCCGAACGTTCTTGTGTGGCGGGTGGCCTTGAATGGCACTACAGTGCACGGGCCTTGCATGCGGGCCTCGTCGTTGTGCATGCCAGCATTCTGAGATGAAACCATGCTGACATGCTGCTGCTTAACATTGCGAACCTACATGCAAAAATATCAGAATCGTTGACAGCACTTGCCGTAGGAGCAAGCACTTGTGTAGCGCAGGAGACGCCTTATGGGAGGAGCACGTGCTGACAAAATGCCCGATTCTGCAGCTTGGCCTCTTTTTGGCCGCGGGGCTCACAGACTATGCAAAGAGAGTTGGTTAAGGCCATGACCAGACATGACCAGACGCTTCTTGAAAGTTGGCGTTGCCTTTGGTGTAGGGTTCCCAGCAAACCGAAGGAAGTTTACCCGGACCTTTGCGCAACTGCTCGACGCAGAGCCACAGAGCAGGCCAATCAATACCCAACTGTGTTTGGGATCTTCAGGGCTGGAGGCTGGCTCATGGCTCGATGGTGGAGAGTTCGGCCTTTCGGTTAAAAGCTGGCCACTGCGGGATGCTCCGGCCGCTACGGGTCAAAGAGCCAAGAAAGTCCCTCGATTTCTGCGTCCGGGCTTCCACTAGTAAGGCTGGCTCCTGGGACCCGATTTCAATCTTTAAGAGTAACACTAGAGAGCCCAATACACACCAAAAACCCAGGAACGCATGAAAAAGCCTATTTTTCTATGAAAACCCTCGCAGGTTTGTGGTTCCTTCCGTACAGAGGCCAGGAGACATGGAGGCAAGCAAGGGTCATGGGGTTTAGAGATGGTTTAGAGGTTTCGGTTCCGGAAAATGAGCAGAAACTCCGTCAGTGAAGCAAGCTACGTGCAAGACATGCAGAAAGGAATCGCCGGGACATCTAACTTGGACCATGTTCCAACTGTTGTTTGACGGCTTTTTCATCGATCGCACTGCGCGACCACATTGCTTGTGCGGGGTTGCATGGCAGTCACAACGAAGGACCTGACAGCTTAAGACTCCAAATCGCCAAACCGGCCTAAAACCCTGAACTCCGCTGAGTCCTCAAGGCTTGCTGCTGTCTCGGCGTCGCCTTTCGCTCTGCGCTGGCGTTTGAACCGGCAGATTGAGGGCTTCAAGGACGACAGAAATAGGTAAGGTTGAGGTTGGGCTTCGTGTGGGATTCTGCTCTGGGGTTCCAGAAGCAAGTCCAGGCAGCCCCTGACATCCGCCCCGCTTTACAATGGAAATTGACACTGATCGGAAGCAGTCCTATCTCGACTGCAATCCCGAGTGGCGAGTCAGGTGCACCTCCCAGGCTAAGATGTTCGTGATTAGTCGCTGCTGTGTGTGAGAGTGTAACAGATGCGCGGTGGGTCAAAAGACACCTTGCAGCTGAAAAGAAGCAGATGAGAGCGAGCATGCCACCCCTAAAAGCTAGACATTTTCACGCCCCAGTTCACGGACTCCCGTCCAACCATCATACCATCTTACCCCCACACCTCTTAACCCTCAACCTCCAAAAACCTTACCAAAAGACCTCAACCCCAAAACCCCCAAAGCCCCTACCCAAAAATCTTACCCAAAACCCCTATCCAAGCGAACCGGGGCATGAACCTCATTTAATTTTCATATCTTAGTTATTATGAAAACTAAAACATATCAAAACGAAGTTTTACGAAGGTCTAGTAATGTATCAGAAAGAATATCTTCATAATGTTCGTTCTTGTAAAGCAGTTTAAACAAGGCTTTCAATACCTCGTAACAGCTTGATAATATGCATCACTGCTGTTATTTCTATGCCACATGTCAAACTCATCGTGCAAAGTTCTTCTAAACATCTCTATAGAACTCCTTTATTTCCTTGCGGGTATCTTTATTGTATGTAATGCCCTTCGTGTAAATAATGCGTTCTTTGTCTCTTTGTCATAACCAACGCACTTAATCTTGATATTTGGCAGAGTTTCCTTCTTGATATGCGAATATGTTGGAAATGGGCGCGTTTTTTATAAAATAATATAGTTTTAATTCTTGAATACCTCCGCTGTGATATTCCATATGTTGTGCTTCGTTCTTAATTGCAGTGTGCATTCTGGAGCATCTTTACAAGGAATGAACTTGAAGATGTTTTCATTTGTTCTGTGAGGTAATATTTGCATTTTATCTGATAATATTTTCTGTATCTTTTGACATTTTAAACAGTTGTTGGTTTCATCTTCCATCTTGCTTCTATATGAAATAAACTCTGGAATCATAATCATCCGCTTCTAATATTATATATTGCATTCTCTTTAAGCCCCTTTCTCCTAAGTCCGTTTAATTTCATGATTAAGCATTATGAAAACTAGTGTGAGTACATATTATGAATATCGCTGTGGTCATCAAGAAACTGCTCCATCTGTTCATGGAGTTTTTCACCTTTACGTTCCAAAGAAAGTGTCATATCTCTGTTTCTAGACCTTTTCTTCTTCAATATCTTTATTTCATCAGCAATAGCCGACCCTTCCGCCTCTATCTGACATCTCTTACAACTAGCCATCATTGCAATTGTTAAGCAAATGTTTTCAGGTAGTTTTTTTGTCGCTTCACAGAATACTTTTGAATATGTTTACACATAAAACATTCTTCTTCATCTGACGTCATTCTCTAATATTATATATCGCTTTCTCTTTAAGCCCCTTTTCTCCTAAGACCCCTTTAAATCCTATAACTAACAATTACGTTTTCCAATCTCTCTTCTAGCTCTCTCAATTTATCTGTGTTATTCATAACTTTCATAATTTCTCTTTCTCGTTCTATTTCTTCCATCTTCTGCTTATGTATTTTGATATTCAGGTGCCGGCTCCAAAAAATGTATTTATCAATAACCTTCCCACATAACACACAACGATGATTTACAGAAAAAAATACGTTTTCCATTACTACATTCTTTATTCAAGATTGAGGAACCTAAGCATCATGGATCTGCGGGGCGCTTAGGCGAAGAGCGCCCTGAAGGCTCAAGCAGCGAACCATGCACGGGTGGGGTTGACTTATATGATGCATCTATATGCATCAGCAAGCGGCGAAAGAGGACTGACTTGGCTACTGCCTACAGCGCTCGAGACCCTTGAACCCTCCACTTTAGCCTCGAAACCCTGAAAACACTGAGCCCCCCTTCGCCTGAGCCTTCTCAGCGCCCTGCAAAAGCTTTTTGCTCCAGAAGGGCCGCCAAGAAGGCTGAGAAGGAGCGTTTGGCCAGGGAAGCTGCAGCCAAGAAAGCTTACGAAGAACGCTTGGCGCAAGAGGCAGCAGCCGCAGATGCTAGACGAAGCCGTTCAGTTCTGTTAGGGTCTTGCATTGTATAGGGTGTCAGTGTAGAGTTCTAAAACATTCAAGCATTATGTTACTTCTTGCTTTGCGGGGTTTTGGGAGGTGGTTGTTCAAGGGTTCACAGGTCCTGTAAATGTTGATTGGTGCAGATGTGGGCTTCATAGGTTTAGGGCTTTCCTATTTGTGCATAGGTTGATGGATTCTGCAGCTAGTTGGGTCGTTTGAATAAAGGCCGAAATTCAACACCATCAGCCAGGTAAAAGCATCTCTAAGCCAACGCGAAGATTGAGAACCCCCACATTGCTGTAGGCCTGTGGACCAGTTTCGGGCACCTTTCGAGATTACCTCTCTCCGTCTGCCCGTTTGAACCCACAGCGCCCCTCCATTTCCCATTCCATTTCACAGCCCCAGAAGGTGATAGTCACGGAAAGCATCTCGGCTCGGAAGCTTCCGTTTCCCTGCACCGGCCGTCTAACTATCCTGCCTGTTACGGGATCCAGAGATAGCCGCGACCTCGGCCCACACCGCGGGTTTTTTCAAAGGGGTTTCAAGGAAGGGGTTTTCGTGGTTCCGACAGCAGCCTTACACCCCTCACAGGCTTAAACCCCAGTGCCATGCAGCTACATAGGGAATTTCCTCAAATGGGGCTTCTTTTTGTCCCAGATTGCCAGAGTCTTTTGTATAATCCTTCTTGTTCCAGGGAAGAGGGACGATAACCTCTCAGTCGTTTCCAAGCGCCCGTGCACCCTAAAAGGGCGGCCACCCTGAACTTCTTCTGAGTGCCCTAAATGCCCTAAGGCCTTGGTATCGAGACATCCTCCGTGAAGCAGGACGTGCCGCCGGGCACCCAGGCTTCGCCCAACAAGTGCTTTGAGGGCTTTTGGCTTATCCATGCATTTTATATAACCGTAAACCCCAAACATCCAGCCCTGCTGTGCCAAGGCCGGGCCCAGTCCTGCAAGTCCAGGACTATGAGCAGCTGGTGCTCCATAGCAACAAGGCCTGCAATGACACGGTTGCGAGTCCAAGGAGGGCGTTCAAGGCGTTCAGGGGTGACGCTCCGGCTTTTTCCCATCGTCAGCCTAGCGGGCTGATGCTCCGAAGGAGCTTGTCGACACCTAGGTAGGGTTTAAAGTTCACTCGTGCGACTTGCCAGCGGTTGGGGGTAATTTGGTTCTGCATGCCTGCCCCGCTTCTGGCTTGAGCTTTGAAGCCACCCCCCATGACAAACTCGAAATCCCAGAATCCAACAGAAACGCGCACAAGCCCCCAGACCCTTAGCCCTAAAGCCTAAACCCTTAAAACCCTAGACACTACAAATGCCCTATAAATAATTTGGAAATCTTACCCTAAATGCATTTTAAGTGCCCTACAAACCCTGTAAACCCTACAAACCCCATAAACCCTATGAACCCTGTAAACCCTATGAGCCCTATAAGCCCTAAAAGTCTCAAAACCCCCAAACGCCCTAAAAGCCTTAAGTCAGGTGAGCAGTACCGGGCAGCGATTTCAGAAAACCTGCCCCAGGGGAGTCTAGGGGCCCGGAACCCCTAAACCCGAAAGGGCTTACAGCAGCTTAGAGTTTCACCGAAGCACAATTCCCTAAACCCTAAACCCGAAGTCATTTTGAAGCTGCCATGTTGGGTTTAGAGCTCCAAGGCTTGGGGTTTAGGGAGGGCTTCAAGAGCTCTGGAGTTTTTGGGTTTAGGGTTCGGGGTTTAGGGTTTCGTCTGTTGTCCTCCCCTCCCTCGACCCCCTACCCCCCCCCCTCCCCCCTCCCACCCCCAGATCCTAGGGCCCCCAACCTTGTTTGGCCTGCAACTCCTCTCTACAAGCCTTCTCTGCAAAGCCTGCATCCCAACCACTTGACCCAAAACCCTGAACCATATTCAGGTTCAGGTTCGGGGTGGAAAGTCTAAGCCCTAAACCCCCAAACCCCAAAACCAACTCTCATGTTCCTTTCATTTTGCTCAATAAGGCACTCTGCAAGTCGCCGCGCACCACACGTGGACTGTATGGACTCTGGATACAGATGGGCATGCCAGGCCTGCGTCGGGCGTTCTCTCCGGGCAGGGCTTATGCTCTCGAATTTGGCTTCGATCAGGAAGGGTGGGTGGAGATTAGGGTTTAGGGTTGAAGGTTAGGGGTGGATTGGGGTGAGATGTGCGGTGACCGGGGTCGAGCAGCCTTAAACCTGCCATTGCCCGAGCCCCGCTCTACCCCCGTAGTTGATCTTACATGTCTTGTGGAATGAGAAAGAGGAGATGAGGGTTTAGGGTTTAGGGTTTAAGGTGAAACCCCTCTTTTCTTAACGTTGTACTAGCACGGCTTTGTAGAGCAGTTCATACAAACGCTCACGTGCCAAAGTATGTCTGAAGCTCCGACGAATCCATGGAAGCCAGCAGCTGCCCTGAAAATCTGCCGACAGAGAGCGTTGGCGTTGCCTCCAAAGCTGGGTTTTCGCTTTCGCTGTCGTCCGTTCGGGTCCACGTGAAAGTCAGATTGTCACTGCAACTCATGGACCACGGTCCTAAAAGGACATGGGGGATGGGGGCGTGCTTGAGTGTTGGCACGACTCGGTCTATACATTCGCAAGTAACGGTTTGCTGCGGGTGGCCAATTGGCTGTTCCAGCAGTATCAGTCTACATATTCACTGCAGGACAATTGAAGGCTGCAAAACTGCCGAGTCGATCATCCCACTTTGTCAGCGGGCGACCGGGTCGACGATGTAGTTGCGAAGCAAAGTTTGTTTGCCAGTTACTTTCTGGACACCATTTAACGACAGCAGCGGCCCAGTCGGGAATTTGCAACATTTGG